GAACAGTAAGTGCAGTACTCTGCACTTATAACTTATAACTTATACTTATAAGTTATAACTTAAACTTATAACTTATTACTTATAACTCTGGTTTGGGAAGCAAAAGGATTCACACGCAGGGCCTAGAAAGTACCAGCTGTGCTATCTAGGATGACACCTGAGAACGTGCAGCCTGGAAGGCTCTGCACAAAAATACTCCCACAACGCTTCCAAGCCCTGGCTGATTCTGGAAGACTAGCTGCAAATCTGAGTATACTTGAGCACACTCACCTGCCTTTTTTTTTTTTTTTTTTTTTTTTTAAATAAGAGGTCTGCAGACTTCTTTTGAAGACTCAGTATGTGTAACTGAAGTTTAGAACTTTACCAACATATACTGTGTTCTTGTCTTGGAGAGAACCATACTTAAATTTGTAACCTGAATGCTTTTTAAAACAAAAACCACTCCCATAACCAGGGTATTCTTTATTTGCTTTTCTTTTAAAGAAAGAGTAAAGATAAGCAACAGAATAGATCAAGGTGCAGTAAGCAGGAGATCTTTAGAAGCCAAGAAAGTCTAAACTATACTGTACAACACAGCCTTTCTACTTAAAAACCTCTCCTGTTAGATGTCCATCATTGAGCTAAATACTTACATTTTTACAAGAGAGGCGTGCAGGAGAGAAGGCGAAGAAGAGAAATACTGTAGGTTCCAAAAATGTAAACTAATGTTGCAGCAGAATATAAAATAATTGCACCAAAGCATACCCCCTCAGATACCTAAAATCACAGCAACAAGACTGGACAGGACCTGTAATTAAGCATGGAATACAGCTGATTAGGGAAACGCCTACACCCAACCTCCACCCCGCAAAAGAAAAAAAATGAAAAAAGAAAGAAAGAATGGAAAAAAAGAATGAAGCCAAAGATGTTTCTCAACTGGGCATCAACTCAGACTGATGTAAACAAAATGCTGAAAATCAGTTCCAGACACAAGACAAATGGGTGTCACAAAACAGTAGTGCAGATACAGAATCATTCTGAGAATACCAAAAGTATTACTTCATGCTGTAGAGTATCAGGTATGTAAGCAAAATAGGACCCTATTTAAGAATTATACAACACAGAACATGCATAAGGCGGCATGAAAAAAAAGATTAAAGTTCTTCCCTCCTTCCCCAAATAGCTGCCTTGGATCCTTCAGATAGAAAACATTTCAAAAAGAAAGGACATGTAGACTTTTCAGGGTGAGGCACAGCAGCGTTTAGAGCCTATTGTGCAATCACTGCTTTTCCCCACTCACAGAACAGAACTAAATTAAAACTAAAGTTTAAATTACCTTTCTACAATACATGTATAGTACACTACACCACTCAAAAATAGCATCAGCACTGAGAGCCATATTATTTATATGATCCACGATAATGTCTTTAACAAGAAATTCACAAATTTAACATAGGGAGTTCCCCACCTTTAAAATTAGAGAGCAAGTTAAAACAATTTTGTGCTGAACACACTCTCCTCACTCCAGCTACCAGAAGCAAAATCTCTATAAATACAAAAGCTTAGATCTGATGTTCACTTTTACACCCGATGACATTCCAGATTCCTAAAAGACAACACTAATTTAAGTTAACATTTGACAAAGTTCTGGTTTGCAACTTATTTTCATTTATCAGACATATGCTAATAACTGGCTGGTCCCATTTCTTTACGCAGGATGAGACATTTCAGACAAAGTAAACATATCAATATGAGATTGATCATATGTTAATGTATCAAGAGCATATGGCTGTTAATATTAAGAGTCCAGATAAAATACTTAACCAATAGATATTTTAAAGGCTTACTCCTAATAAGATCTCACTTAAAAAAATAAAAAAAAGTCTTTCTGTTGTTTTCCCTCTCCGTCCCCCAATTTGTAAGTCATGAATAACTAAAGGTTGATCAAATGAACTAGATGCTGAGAAATTAACATGTTTCTTAGAACAGCTATACTTGGCATATGCTGAGACAATAACCTAGGAAATCACAAAAAATCCAAATAAAAACTCATTCAAAAACCTCAACGTAGTTCTACTGAACATGGTCTTCAGTAGACAAACTTCTTACCTCCAGATGTCACTTCCTTTAGAAAACATGGAGGACTTGATAACTTCTGGAGCCATCCACGCGTAAGTCCCTGCTGCACTCATTTTGGTTGTTCTGTGCCACTCTCTAGCCAGACCAAAGTCTGTAATCTTTAGAGTTTTATTACAAATGTCATCATGTTCCATCTTCTCTAGCAGCAAAACTGCAAAAGATTGAGTTTGTAAATTAATGCAATGGGAATAAATTCAAAATATCCAGTCCTGTTATTAATTTCACATACAGTCCGTACTGCAGATAATTGCATACTTTAAACATTGTGAAAATATTATTGCAATTTTCATAAACATGAAAAAGATTTTTGATAATTCTAAGCTATAAAAGTGATAAATACCTACAGTGTCATGAGTTCTTTATACAACTGTGTGAGTAGATACTAAACTAGCACAAGAAATCCACTGCAAAGAGATGTAAAGTAAAGCACGTAAGTTTAAGAAAGCCCAGAATCCTAACATACCACAGATGATGACAGTCTGTGAAAAAGGTATTCACTTTAGAATGAGATTCTGTAGTAATAAAAATATCAGTAGTAGTAAAAGAAAAGCAAATGCTAAGAATTCTTATAAGTCTTAGAAAACAAAGCAGGATACTTTATGTCACTATATAAAATCCATCCTTAATACTACACCCAATCCTGGCTCCTACTTGTCTCAAAAATTATATAACAGAACTGAAAGAGGCACAGCGAAGGATACAACCAGGGTGCTCAAAACAGCATATCCACAGCTACAAGGAATGGTTAATAGACAAGTCTTCCCCCAGGAAAAGAAACAGCTGAGAACAGGATTTATAACGCCACCAGTGGAATGAAGAAAGCTACAGGTAACAATTGTTCAGTTTCTCAACACAAGAAACAGGCATCATCGAGCAAAATTAGCAGATAAGAATCAAACACATGGCAGTCGTTCACACAACACACAGCTAGGTGAACTTTAGAATTCTTGGCATAGTATGTGAATACTATTATTTTACTTAGATTTAAAAAGCACCTACACAAATTCACAGAAGACAACTCCATAAAGAGCAGTTACATCAAAGAGGTGGGTTTAAGTTTGAGAAATCTCTGGGTCACAAATCAGTACAAGTTGGGAGACTCTATACCAGGGGTGTTGGCTTGCCCCAACCAGCAACAGGACACTGGACTGGGATCAAATCCACATTATGTTATATCCACTGCACCTTCATGGATGTTAAGGAGTAAATTAATTTTTTTTGCTGTTGCATCCTATGGTGTGTATTCCGTGTCTGACTTGCTCGTAACACAACAGTATTGACAAAGTTGTAACACTTCTTCACAAAACAGTGTTAAAAGAGAACTGGCTTACTGTGTCTCACAAGGAGAAAGACAGCAGGTGCAAAGGAATCATTATTAACACACCAGAATTTTAGTTCCACATTCCATTCCTCTGTCACTGTCTGTGATAGTAACTGGTAGCTTTAACTTTCTGTTAAAATGATCTCCTGGGACAAAGATCAAAGGTTAAATTACGAGTAAGAATAATCATAAACGCATGTGTTTTCCAACTATATGTATGGCAAACCACAGTACAGAGAACCCATTAATAAAAAAGCAGATGAAGAATTACCTTCCCTTACAGAGGAAAAATTGAGGACCTTGCATTTGCAATTGCAAGAAATTATTTTTACTGGTACAGATTACAGTCTTACAAATATTTTTTAAAATTATGTCAAATCCAGATAAAAAAAAAAAAAAAAAGAGAACCCACATTATATTCTCAGTAAGCTTCTTAACACACCGTAGAAGAAATCAAGGCCAAAATAGTATAGACAAACCAAGAGCTTACCAGTCAGCATCACCAGAACAAGTTAAATTCATGCGAGTTTTTATACTTTTATACTTGAATCAAAGACCTATTGTTTGCTATTCCATTTCAAACACGTTCAGCAGAATTCCTGACATTCCTTGTCAGTCAATGTGACCGAAACCAAAAACAGTCAGTCTTGCAAAGGTAATAACTGGCATGTGGCCAAGTTTCATCCTACAAAGGGACAACGTTTCCTAGCAGTTCAAACTTCCCTTTCCGGCCAGTAGCCAGGAAAGCAGAAATACTATACATGGATAACTTAGTAGCTGGGTAGTAAAAATGCTCGGCATAGCTGAGTAGTGCTCCATAAGCGCTTCCCGTGCAGTAGCCTAGCAACCTTTACTACAGCATCCTTCTGCCACTTCCACAGCTTCCCAACCCTTGCTGGCTGCTAACCCACAAGAATTCACTTTTATAATCTTTTGTTTATCCTGTTCACTCAGCCCCCACTTATTTCTTTTTCAAATCCTTTAAATTGCCTTTTCAGACTCCAAATACACCTGCAATATTAAGTTGAGTAAGAGCCAACTGGTTTACTTTAACAGTTTTCAGACTTTTTATTTTCCACAAGAAGTTCATACTTACATTAGTGCTATTGTTCTGACAAACACAACCTAAAATATTTAAAAGTACAAAGCCCATTTGAAAATAATTCCAAACCTACCAAAAAAATTGAATTACATTAGGAATGCAGAAGTGCAGGAAAATGCTATGTCCACCCCATTTATTTTGACATAAGCAAAACCAGGGACTATGACTATTTCTGAAGGATTCAAAATCAAAGAGAAGGAGACTAAGTTGGATTTGAGAAGACTACTTTGTGCAAAGTAGCATAAAATTTCATCTTGGACTGTTACTCAAACAATGCACATACTACTAGCCAGAAACAAACATTTGACTAAATATTTTAAGGCTGCATATGTTTCCTACCAGGGACACTAATTTCAACACTCTTTGTGACTTTTCTGCAATGAGATCAAGGGGAAAGTAAATTTATTAACATCATAGCAGCAGAGGTTATGGTGCCATATACCAGGTACTCTTCGAATACAAGAGACAGCACATGCCCAGAACCATTTACAGCTGGGGAACAAAGAGATGTTGCTGCACGTTCTTTGCAATAATTCCATGAAATACAAATCAATAGGTTGAAGTAAAGGCCAAAAAATCCTTAAGTCAGAGAGAAAAATGAATAAATACAAATGCTGTGTGGTAAAGTGGTATTGAAATCTGTGGATATGATTTTGCACATCCTAAAAATTAAAAGACACTGTTGACAGTGCAGCAAGTGTACATGAGGATTCGAACAGCATCCCTAACAAAGATACTGCTATTTAACCATACAGATGAAAAAAGCACTCTTAAAGCCGTCTAATGTAACTAAAAAGAATGTGGAAATCCAAGTATTATTTATCCTAGCTCACTGAAGGAAGTAGCTCATAGAATTATAAAATTACAAGTTATGAAGTAATTTACATTGGAACAGACCTCAGGATGTCAAACCCCCCACTCAAAGCAGGACTAAAGTTGTAAAAAGTGTAATCTACTATAAAACATTTTTATGAAAAGTTATGTCACTATGACAGAATAAAAGTAAACATTATATTCAAAACAACTGTATTGTATTCACTCAACTACACACATATTTAACTTAAATGTCATCTTAGAATAGATTTTGAAGAAAACTAATTAAAGAGAGTAATTAGGGACATCAAGGCATAGAAAAAGCAGCAAAATTATAGCAGAGTTGCATTACAAATAGCTCATGTGACAGTAATCCCATTTTGTCCCAACAGATTTTTTTTTAGAAAGGGATAAAGTAGCAGACTTGAGCAGATGTGAGTACCTTTTAGGAAGTGTAATCATACAGACAGAATAAGGATTGATCAAAGAATTCTGTACAGCAGTTGCATGAAGGAAAATCTAAAGAGACAAGTTATCAGGATAAAAAGGAAACATCCCTAGGAAGCATGTTTGCTTCACATGTCGATATGCAATTGCAGTAAAAATACAAGGTGGGTTTCAAGAACTGACAGCAAAGTCACTGCCCACTCTGAAGAAGACCGGATCATCATACTAGAAAATATGCAAAGTTGGAAGGGATCAATCATAAAACCTACAGCTGTAAAGCAGAGGTGAAAGAAGGTGGCTGGCTATTCTGGCTAACAGAAGGAAAACCAAACCAGCAGCTACATATACTTGCGCAACTAGCTCATGCAATTCTAAAAGGCAATAAAAAGGCTTTTTTTAGTAGAAACAGGGACGTACCAATAGAACTGTACAAAGCATAAAACCTCATATGACATACCGGGTGACTAGAACTGCACATATGTGTTCAACAACAGGAACTCAAACTGGAGCAGATGCAGAAAATAGAAGACTTAGGAACCTGTAATGTCTTTTATTTAGATAAATCAGAAGAGCTTGTCCTTTTTGCTAGGCTAAACAAATGTCGAGAACAGTTACGAGAACAGAAGTTAGCCATACCTAGCAACAGGATGCAGACCTACACCACAGGTGCTCTTATTGATAAAATACCCTCCTGGGTGCCCTGGCTGATCCGTCTTACTGGCATGCTTGTGACTGAACTCAGTTCTGTATCTGACAGCCCCCTTTTGGCTTTCCTCTGCAGTGTAAAGCACAGTTTACTCCTCAAAAAACTCAGAAGATCCAACACACCCTCCTGTTAAACCTAATGGTTCCTGAAATAGCAATGCCTTTAATCTTTCCTGCTTTCTTTCTGAATTATCATAGTTACAGCTGGAGTCTTTTTCTACTAATCTTACAGCACACTGCAAGTATTTTATGGTGTAACAGTATGCAGATAAGATGTTCTGCACACTTTTACAAACTAAAATCTATCACACAGTTGCCCAAGTCTGCAAAGGAACTGGACCTCCTGAATCAGCTGATACTTCCCAAGTCCGTCTTCCCCTGCTAAAACAGAACCAGCAACATCTCTCTGCCAAACCACCACTGTTTCCATACGACCTGTTCTTAGTCAGGAAAGGCACAGAATTTAGGCTTCAAAAGGAGGCAGAAGTCCCAGTGAAATCTCACTTAAATGCTCCCTGTCCCCCCTCCTTTTCCTGTGCCGTTCCCTTTCCACCACTCCATCTCCAAACTCTCCCCTCTGGCAGTAGCACTTGCTTTGAGCTACTGAAAGCAAAAGGTAAGAGATCAACTGCAGCAGCTCAGGTTAGAGATGCATAAAGCAGCAGCCCAAGTCTGGCCAGATTTGGATGAGAGCTGCCTTCTCTGCTCCGTTCTCCATTTTTGTGAATTTGGTTGAAATTTTATTGGTAGGACCAGGA